TAGATGCCATTGGCAATGGCATGTCAAGACAAGCAAATAGAAGGTAACCATAAGCAAGATTTCACCTAATATCTTTTTAGTATTGTTTCCCGTGGAAATCGAGTCTCACTAACAATTAAAAGATGGTTTAGACAATTATGTAAGGAACAACAATCCCTCGAGACAAAGTCCCAATGAGAGGTGTTTTATTGATGTGGACGAAACGAAATGCCTCCAAGGGACGCAAGTACACGAATTCTAGAAGAAAATAATTTAAAGTTAACTAGAATGAAATTACATAATTTTCTGTTTGAGAGTCGTTTTGATCTTTTTTTACTTGTAAATTCTTCTTTCTCTTTTATACTCATTTGATAGTTTCTCTTGTAAAAACCGTTTGAAAACTACTGGAAATTGCCCATCGTCCTGTAACTACCCACTTTCTCCATCATGGATGACTTGTCAAGAAACTACCATTTTCAATCGCTGACATTACTCCCATCATCTAACTCCTTGCAACCGAGATTTTTGGATCATGGAATGTGATAAGATTATCCATTAACTGTTTCAATAACCGTTGCTCCGAGTAGTAACCAAAAACACTATATTCGCCCAGATCTTGGGCGTCACGTAGGCTTGAGCGATGATAGGCTCGCCCAGATCTTGGGCGTCTCGCAGTCTTGAGCGAGGATGGGCCTCTATTACATAACTCCGTCTTGGATTTTTAAATGGTCCCGTTTGGGTCCATCTTTCAAATTTCCTAACTTGACTTTATTCCTTAGACCATTTAAGTGGGCCTCATTTTTTGTATGTCAACAAGTATGTGTACTACAACAAAGATGTCAACGACCAAAATAAAATATTACGACGCTTACATGATATAGTCGATGAATACGAATCATCATTTTCGCTTTGCTAATATATAAACTAGTCGCGCTTCACAAGATTTAATGAATTTCCTTGTTATTCTGCTAAATTATATATGTTTCTATTAAGATTTTGAGTAATCCGAGATATCACCTAATTACTTAATCCATGCAAGCACTAATGTTCATCTACTCTTACTGAAATGAATATAGATTAATAATATCCAATTGTGTAGTAATATGTGAGGAACCATACCTTTGTATCAAGAGGAATCTCTACTTTGGCAAATGTCCAAAGACTGAGAAATACAGATGAAAACTTCATTTGAAACCTCAACTGCAGCTACAAATACACAAACTGATAACAAGGATCAAATTGCCTCTTCCAAAAATGGAACTCAAATTTCCCTCTTTTCCCCTCATCGTCATCTCCTTCATCTTCGTATTCCTTTTGCTCCAATTATTCGGTAATGTAAGAGCAAGAATAAGGCTCTGTCTGTGCCAGCTTAAAATTTGAGAGAAAAGTGACTTTTTGACCGTTGCTTAAGAAAATTGGGGCCCACTCTCTCACCAAGGAAGTCAAAAATTGCGGCCTAACGTCTCTAATTGTAATTACCAGCCGCACCAGACAGAGCCTAAAATTGCCACCAGGTCCATCGAAGTAGCCTCTCATTGGAAGTCTGCGCCACCTGGCATCGGCTGGTTCGGCACCACATTATATGCTCAGAATTGCAGCTTGGTGAAACTTCTGCTGTTGCCATATCAACACCTAAAGCGGCCAAAGAGGTGTTGAAAACTCATGACTTTGCCTTCGCATCGAGGCCAAAACTTCTGTCTTCTGAAATCATAACATAAAATTTTTTAGACATAGCCTTTGCTCGCTATGGTGGATACTGGAGACAGATGCGCAAAATCTGCACCTTGGAACTCTTGTCCACCAAAAATGTTCGATCATTTAGCTCAATTCGAGAGGAAGAGGCATCTAATCTCATCTTATCCATCCAGTCATCCTTGTTTTCACCGATTGATTTGACTCAGAAGATCATCTCATACACAAATAATGTAGCCAGCAGAGCAATATTTTGTAATAGATTCAAGAACCAGGAGGAAGTTATATCACTGATAAATGATTCAACATCCACTGCAGGTGGTTTTGATGTTGCTGACTTGTATCCTTCAATCAAAATCCTTCAAGTCATTACTGGGTTGAAATCCAAATTGATGAACCTGCACTACAAATGTGATGGCGTCTTGACAGATATCGTTGATGAACATCAAGAAAGGTTGGCAGATAAAGAGTTCAATGGTCGACTGGAGGACGAAGATCTAGTTGATGCTCTATTAAGACACAAAGAAAGCGGTGATCTCGATTTTCCTATCTCGATCAACAGTATTAAAAGCTGTTCTTCTTTAAGTTAATTCCACCTCTTGATCTACAAAAATTCATGTGTGCGAGCCAGTGATTTAAATTGTTGTTCCACTCTATACGCAGGAGTTGTTCTCTACTGGAACAGATACTTCTGCAACAGCAGTAGAATTTTCTGTATCCGAAATGATGAGACACCCCAGAATGATGGAGAAAGTGCAGGCTGAACTGAGACAAGTTCTTAGAGGAAAAGACAAATTAAGTGCGACCGACTTGGAGGGACTGCATTATATGAAGATGGTGATCAAAGAAACTTTAAGGTTGCGTCCACCTGTGCCATTGCTAATTCCTAGAGTATGCAGGTAGCATAGAGAAATTTATGGGTACGATATCCCCATCAAGACGAGTGATTTTAAATGCCTTTGCAATCAACAGGGATCCCAAATATTGGGAGGATGCTGAAAGTTTTAAACCAGAGAGATTTGCCGATAGTGATATTGAATTCATAGGACCAAATTTTGAGTTTCTCCCTTTCGGTGGAGGAAGGAGGATATGCCCTGGAATATCATTTGGTTTAGCCAGCGTCGAGTTTCTTCTTGCTCAACTACTCTACCACTTCAACTGGAAACTTCCTGATGGGATGAAGCCTGAAGATCTCGACATGACTGAGATACGAGGGAGCACTACTCGAAGGATATCAAAATTGTATCTAGTTCCTACTTCTCGGTTATCGGTGGACAATGTAGACATTAAAAATACGTTGCTGTACCGCTAGAAATTTGACTTACCTTGTCTGTACCCTAAGTCTTATTCACTGTAATAAGTTTCTATCCTTTTCCTCTGATGTACTTTAAGAAATGCAATCCTATGGATGGTCTAAGCATTAGATGGATCGATCAGAGCATTTTAGTTTCCGAAATCACCTATTGTACTTGTGACTGAAATCGTTCAGGTCCATGTAATCAATGGAATCACCCGAACACATCCTGTCAACTGTGGTTCTTGTTTGCATTCAGTTTTAGCATAACATTTTTAAAATAAAAAAATCTTTAACTGACACTACAGATTATCTTTCCAAAATCTAGTAGAAATATAAAATAAAATATACAATCTAATACGTATTTCAATACTTTCCGTGCTTATATGTCACCAAATAGCATCTAATATCTAAGTATAATAACATCTAATATCTAGCAAAATAGAATGCTGCTACTTTATCTAGCAAAATATGCCATCAAATAGAATTCAATGTCTAGCCAGCTTAAACACCAAATGAAATATCTGAAGAACAAACAAAAAACTAGAAACCAACTAATGCCGGACATTTAGAAGAGAAAATTATAAATAATTGGAAAAGAGAAAAAATTAGAAGGGTTTACGAAAATATGCATAACTTTTAGCTCGAATGTCGGATTGTAGTACGTGATACAGTCTAGAAGCTTTTTTGGATTCTGAACATATTTTTTTTATGACGTCAAACTTTTGGGGTCAAATTTCCTCGTTTAGAGATCTTTTAGTTTTTTTTTTTAGAGTCAGTTTAAGGTATTTTCGTCATTTTTACAATATTTTAGTTTATTCAGGTTTTTTTAATAATTTTTTAGTTTTTTTTGGATTTGTTTATAGAATCAGAATTTCATTTTGATTAGAAATTGTTTTGAGTTTATAAATATGCGTTAATGTTGTAAAAATAATACATTTGATTCTTGATAATAAAATACTTTAGTTTTCCCGTTTATTGGTGGATTCTAATATTTATTTAGTGTGTTCCAAATAATTATCACGTCGGTTCGAGGGAAATTCAAGAAATACTCCTTCGTGTGTTACGAACAAGATCCTTTTATTATTATTCATGTTTTTGTCCTACATCACCAACAATAAGAAAGTAATAGATTGTTAAAAAATAACATAAATTTTTCATACGAAAATAACATAACAATCAACATTGTCTCTTTTTTCTTTCCATCCTTTTTCTTTTGCACACCATTCAGTCATTGGATTAAGGTAAAAAAAATGTAAAAAAAAAAAAAACTTATAAAAAGGAACAAATTCGGATCCATAACAGGATTCACGGTTTCAGTTCAAGAATCAAGAACCATCCAGACGTGATCAATTCTCAATTTTTTTTTTTTTTGGAATTGAATCGAAATTAAGGTTCCATTACGATTTCGAAACAAAAGGTTTGATTCCGATTAAAATGTCCACCCTACCCATGAGATCTAAAACTAAACATATACAAGTGCAAGTAGCCTTCCACCTTGTACCGTTAAAGGCATAACCTGCGATTTATCTCCTTCACCAAGACTCAGAGCAGGACAGGTGAGGGCCGCTAAGGATGCGGTTCATCCTTTTCTAAAACTAAACATATATGCAAATCAATTAGCAAAAACATTATTCCTTATTCAATGTATATTATTTGAAACCCCTTTTTATTTGAAACATTATTATATTTTTCAAATAATGACCATTAAACGGGGACATTCAAATAGGGAAGAATTAAACAGCGTTGATGAATTGACATAAATACCAGAACACGTCGTTGTTCACAGAGCCCTTCAAAAATCCGTATCCCGCCTCTTTACAGGTCAATTTCGTCATTACATAGAGTAAAATTTTGAATTCGGACATCCTTACGTTAATGTCAAAACAAAATCCGATACACACACCAAAACATTTTCTGTCAAGAACGAGCAAATAATCCCAGCAAAGATCCTTCTGTACTAAAATCGAAACCTTAATCCTTCCGAATTCCTGAATAGAAAAACGACCGAAGAATTTGAAATTCGCAAGGAGAAATGGCTTCAATCAAGCCTGCAACTCGCTACTCCAATAGCTTAAACAGCTCCACAAAATCCGATCCCTTTTCCTCGACTGAGTTGACGGCCTCACGCGCCATCACAAAGAAAACCACCAACAACCAAATTAATCTCAGCTCCATGGTAAAAAAATTGGTCGATAACAAGAAGGCCAAGAATTTTAGTAAGGACTCGAAATTCATTGTGGCCGATGATTTTTTAGCCCAGGATTTGAAGAAGAATGCAAAGAAGGGTGCTGGACTAAGTGGGCTGCACAAGAAATTGTTTAAGGGATCATCAGGAGGGGCAAAAAGAGGAGATGAAAGCTCGAAGAACGCTTTGACTGAAGTCAAAGGGAATACGAGGACTTTGGGTATGGTGTTGAGGAGTGAGAGGGAGCTTTTGAGTTTGTGTAAGGAGAACGAGGAGCAGATGGCTGAACTCAAGTTGTTGCTCGAGGAGAAAAATAGAGAGGTAAACTTAGATTTGCGAATTTTGATGGGGTTTTTCTTCTTTCAAGATGTTAAAGAAATTTTGTGAAGGTGTGCATTTAAGGCTGATTGTGTCGTGTTACGATGGAATGAAGAATTGAGGATATCGAGTGACATAATAACTTGAAATTGTATAAAGATCAAAACTTTTGCGGTCATTTGTGGCAAATTCATAGAAGAATTAATATTTTAGTCAATTTGCAGAAAGAAAGGGTGATATGTGTGTTCCAATTTTCATGGATTTTGTGGAAGCATCAAATTTTTGACTGGATTTGAATTTCTGATGATACCAAGGAAATGCATTTTATCTGCATATGTTTAAACTCCCTAATATGTGGATTGATCAAGATATATAATTTTCTGATCATTCGATTATTATATTTAGTTGATGATTATAGAATTTGTAGGTCGAGAAGCTGAAAGATTTGTGTTTGAAGCAAAGGGAAGAGATGAAGTCTCTTAAAAATGCTGTACTATTTCCAGATGTTATGAATTCTCAACTTGAGAAGCTTTTGGAGAAGCAGGGTTCAGAACTGAATCAGGCAAAACATCTGATTCCAAGTCTTCAGAAGCAGGTCACATCCCTTACGGGCCAATTACAATGTCTTGCTGAGGATCTTGAAGAGGTAGTACTGATATTGTTGTTCGAATTCTACTTTTACTCAGAATCTTTGTGCACCGGAGAAAATCTAAAACTAAAAATAATTTGAATTTACATGTACCTAGTCGGATTTATGATAAGTTTGATTCTGAGTCGTTGATGTACCCTTTTTCTGTTTTCCTTTTTGCCACAGGTGAAGGCAGACAAATATTCAGCAAAAGGAAGCTCTGATAATCACTTCAGCTCTCCAAGGACACCATCATGTGATCAAGAAGAGGCAGCTAATTCTTGGGTAAAATCATTATAGAAAACTGGAAAATCGGAATTGGGAAGTGGTTGTTAAGGTTTTATTAAGAAAATCTTGCTTATCTCATAACCCCTTAGAATTGAGTACGCTCTAATATCTATACTGTAAGTTCCTATCCCTTAATTGTTCGCCTCAGTGGACATGAAGACACTGAATTCATGCTAATAAATAACTTACCTCAAAGAAAAGCATGTTACCTCGCTTCAAATGCAGCCCCTATTTGGGCTCCATTTTTTTTGAAAATACATTTTTCAACTCATTTTTTATTACACATTCTCCCATAAAATAATATTACACGTAAACTTAAAACTTGTCCTTATTTTTCAGCCCCTATTTGACAACCATTAAAACTCTACTTTCTCCAAAAACATCGCTATTCAAAACTCCATTTTCTCAAACTAATGCTTGCCAAAAACGGGTATAGCTGCACTTTCTCCAAAAAATCACTATTCTAAAACATATTTTTCCTAAAAAACTCATTTTAATGGAGCCTGAACAGGGGCTCAATACAAAGTATATCACGAAGTATGTGTGAAATATGCTCATTGGCATGTTGATATTCGTGGAAAGTCATACGAAACCTTCTTAGCGTTAAGGGATAAACGTAAGATTATAAACCAACATACAAGGGTTTGGACTAATCCTCTTAGTAAGGCCACCTAGAGGGAATGTTGGGATTTTGCCTATGGAGCAGCTTATTGATCAAAACATCAGATATTTTTATTGTGATGATTATCTTGTTTCCTCTTCAGATCCTAGCTCAACATTAAATATAGGTTATTTATCTTTTTATTTATTTCAAGGTTATCTAAAAATTTTCTCTTTTAACAGTTTGATCAAGAATTCAGCTCTGGGGATTACACAACCCCAGACATCCCAGATGACATGTTTCTCAAAGATTTGAATCCGTGCCTGACACCATGTTACTCCAAGACAAAGCCTAAGGTACTTGTATACGCGACCTGATACACTATTTAATTAAATCTCGTCTCATAACGTAGAGATTCTTGGTGTGTGTGAACCATTTCACAGTACCTTACAAAAGTGTAATCCTTTTAGGACTTTGAGGTTTATGATTCCCAGAACGATGATGGCTTGTCCAGAAACAATATGCAAATGTGTCATGGTACTGGTTTCAATTCTCATGCAAGGAAGCTATCAAAAAGTTCCGACTGCTGCCATTGTTCCAAGACGGGGAACAGTTCAGTTCGTTCAGCTCGCCAATCAGATGAAAGCAAATGCACTTATGGAAAGCAAGTGCGTCGTAAATTTTTCAAATAGATCCTAATGCTGGCGATTTTGCATTGAGCATGTTGTTTTATTCCAGCATCTTCTCCTGTTCCCAGTTCTTGAACTTCATTAAGTCTGAACGTTTGGTTTGTTTGCCAGTATGAGATGTTCTGTCCAGAATTATCAGTATTCTCAGTGGAATATAAATAAAATGGCTTTTTTCTGAGGTAATTAAGATTTTAAGACTAACGATTATCGGGTTTCATCTGTTTGGAATTTCTTTCAAGGTAATGTATTTGGTAGTATTGCTTATGTGAACACCAGTATCATTTCATACCGATCCTCACTAGAAAGTAGAAACTTGTAAAATTAAGCGTTTTAAGTGTTGAGATTTGCTACAAATCAGCTTATATCTAAAATTTCTGTTGGTAATGCTATTTATTTTGAATTGGCACTTTTACCACGATGCTAACAAGTGGCATAATGGCAGTCGTATCTTGACTACTCGGTTAGCTTGTAAGACACAGATAAAGAGTCCATTTGGTGGTTCAGGACGTTTCAATTGACCCTCACTTGTACTTTTCTCAAGGTTCTTAGGTGAAAAATCTTGTAATTTTCGGTGAAGGTTGGATTCTATGCTATTCTTCGAACAGAACGGTGGATTGGGCTGTTAAATTTTTTAAGAAATTCTATATTTTGAGAGGTCTGCGCAGACTTGAGGATTTTTTGGTTGTAACCGTGTCAGCACAAATTACCTTTACACAATAACGTGGTTACAACCAAAGCACAACCTCGGAGTTAATTTTCCCTGTTCCACTCGAATTGCCACTTATGGCAATCTCTCTTCTACTTCGTTACTCTCCTAGTTGCCTTCATCCCCCATTCCAACAGACGGCGAATGCCTTCAAGGAGATTGCAACCTGGCTTTGGGTGCTTCTATGGTGGGTCCGATTTCGCTATCCCCATGCCATCCAAATGATACAGCTGAGAGTGGCCAATTCATCCCGATACACCAACTTTCCACAATAAGCAGAGTCCCAGATATCATCACATACCTGAAGAGCCTTAACATGATCCTACAATCCGGCCTGCTTCCAGAGCGCTCGAAACTCCCAAAGAAATTTTATGTTCACCTTTTAACTTAAATATTTGAGCAATTTGATCGTTTACATCATAGTTTCGACTAATAAAATAACTAACATGGCCAAATAACTAAAGTATCATGCCACTTTTTCCGTCAGACTCGAAACAAAGCCTCCGTTCAAGATATTGTAAGTAACTTTTAGGAAGAATAGTTATGAGAACCACGAAATATGTCGATAATAATAAGTTGTAATTTCAAATGAGATTGAAATTAAAGATTGATTTGACTAGTTATAAAAGTAATTTTTAAGTTACTAATAATATTAGGCGAAGGCGAGCAAGGAATAAACATAGTGACTAATTCTGTACAAAAACAATTATTTACGAATGAAAAATTATGCTAAATGACAATCTAATATTTAACCCATTGAAATAAATATTTTTTGTACATATAGAATTTATTCTAAAATGCCCTATGCCCAATGTAATTGATGTTATTTGTAATCCAAACAATGAGATCAGAGTGTTTCTACAAGTTTGGACGACCCATAAAAATGAGGTAAACATCCAAAATGAGTGCAACACCAAGTATGCAAAATACATCTGGTCATAACAGAAGGTTTGGTGGATAATAATATTTACACAAAACACTAACTGCCTAAAGAAAAAAGAAAAACAATATCTCTACCAAAATTGGATTTCTCAAGAATTTTTGGATTAAGAGACGATCCATATGCGACTAGGATTGAATTACAGATACGAGGATCATATCACAAGTTACCAGATGATTATTGGAAGAAGATACATTTCTCACCAGTTCTGCAGCTGTGAAGAAATGCTTTTTACAACAGGGTGGTATTCCGTGTGCAAATGTCTCTTTGCTTTCTCTGAACCAGGGTGCTCAAGCCACTCGTTATATAGGCTTTTGATAAGGGGATTTTCATAAGGATCGGCTACCAGTACCTAAAATATTAGAGAATGTTAAGCAATAAAACATTCAAAATGTTTATTTAAGAGTAATGTGCAAAATTATCAACAACCATCAAGGATAAAGGCACTGCTTGCAAATTGTGATATGATAAAATATGTGGTAAAGCAAGAAAAATATCGGTTCACACCAAATATGAGGAAAATAATGCTAATTTTATTAAGTTTCAATAAGACTAATCCTTGAAATTAACAAAAACCATCAAGGATAAAGACACTGTCGAACTTAAATATATTCAATTAGTGACAATATAAAAGAGAAATGGCAAAACAAGACAAATGTTGGTCTGACACTGAAATAATGCTGATTTTATTCTTTATTCTTTTATATTTTTTTCTCTTATGCAGTTCAAAACTTGATTTTTATTTTTATTTTTTTCTCTACACGTCACACCTGAACACTATATACAAAAAGTCAAGGTTCCCAAAACTGGGCCATTATTAAACAAAATTGCTCAAAATGAAGAAGGCCATAGTAAAAAACCCACGACGACTTACATTTTCTGCATATGTGCTTTCCAATAACTGAATCAAATCTTTTGCAGACTGCCCAGGCTTAGGCTTGATTTGACCTCCACCATTCAAACATCCTGTTGCTCACAGGGAAGGTACACGTAAATACATTGTGTATGATTTTTAAAGGAACAGGCAATACTTCAAATGAATGACCAGTGTACGTGGACATGATCTAGTAAACCAATAATACCTGAAGGACATGCCATAATCTCCAAGAAATGATAGTCGCACTTTCCAGTTTTAATTTTTGTAACAATGTTTCTCAGGTTTCTGAATCCATAACATTGTGCAAATTTCAAGACAGTTTTACCCTCGATCTGCATTTAGATCATCAGAATAATAAATTCATGATACAAAAATAACATTTATATAGGAAATATCCTTTCCAGTGAGCTGTTTCTTAAATGACTCGAATGGTAAAAAAAGGCGGGTAGGTGAAGTAAAGAGTAGACAACAATTTTGAGACATACAGCAGAGCAACGAGAGTAATCAAAGTGGATCATCGCAAGAAGAAAATCAGCCATAAAGCATTATGGCAAGAGGAAAGAGAAAATATTAAGTCATAAGGAGAAAAGATCGAAGACGGCATCAATTTATCAGGGGTCAAGATGGAGCTACTTTCAAAACTAGACGTTAACCTCCCTACCATGTGCTCATCAGCACTGCCAACACAAGGATGGACGAAACTTACTTCAAGTGTAACTTCCTGAAAATCTGAGTTCCTTATAGTCTTAAACTGAAGAGGACCTTCAAATTCTTTCCCAAAAAGCATTTTTGCAGCATGACGGAATACAGTGTCTGCATACCCTCCAGAGCTCCCACGAACACCGTAAATGCGGCCCTCTTCGTCTACATTTGACAATCTGCAGGAAACAATATCTTTTTTCTTGTCACTTGACATCCAATGTATTATAATGATATAGAAACAGCACATTTTCTTACAATTTATCCACCGGAGATTGGTCCAAGGTTGTAAAATCAACAGATTTAGACTGCAACAATTAACATCAGGAAAATTTAAGAATACTACAGTGAAAATAAAAAATAATACACGTGCACATTACTGTACGGAATACTACCTGAATCAAATCTAAAACCTCTCCAGTTGTCAACACAGAATCCACCTCTGTAATTCTTTCGCCTTCAGAATCTACTTGGAACACAAAGTCATCCCGAGCAGCCTCAAGCTTTTTGTCATAACAAGGCATCACAGTCACATGATATATCTCTTCTGCTCTGCCCAGAAATAAAATTTATCCACATCGTCAAAACTTAATACTCTTCTAATCACACAGTTATATAAGGGCCAAAAGCTAGTTATCCCTGATGCCTAATTCTACTGTAGACAAAATAAATCAGCTCACATTACAAGATTGACCAATGTGCTCACCCTCATATACACTACAAATAAATGAACCCATCTCTCTCTCTCTCTCTCTCTCTCTCTCTCTGTGCTACTGCACTTATTATGCTGTTGGACCCAACATCAAGATAGAAGTGTGTCAGCCGAATAATATGCTTGAAATCATAATAAAATGTTGGGCACATTAACAAAGATGATGCAGATAATATATAACCTCAGACATAGTTTTTGGCATATGTGTTTCTTAATGGCAGCTCCAATTATTTGCTGGGGGCTTTTCACTGAAGAAATATATGGAAGTATGTAGGATCCAAGTGTTTTTTCTGCATAGCATATCCAACCTGAAAATTCAGAAAGCATCATAAGAAACTTAGATGCAAATCATAAAGCTCTTTCACACTTCAGGAGGCAAAAGTACAGGCCTCTATCTAGTCTAGGTAAAATAATTCGTGTTATTATCTAATTATTACAGAAAGGGAGATGTATACCTGGACATGCTGAAGAAATCATGGGAAGAGACGATTTGGATTTCTCGTCATTAGTAGAATTGCTTTGTTTATAACGTGTTATAAATTCATTGCAGGATTCAATAAGTGCTAAATCTCGACTGCTGCTGGTATCAAATACGGCTTTCACTCCTAAGGACTTAAAGAACGTTGTGAGCTTTGTCAAGACCTGAAAATTCTTAAGCATTAGGTAACTTCAGGAAGTACAAGTACATAGTTCGAAAACCAACATTTCATGTACTGTGCAGCGATAAATGAATATTAAATTGTCGAAACCATATGGTCTTTATGTAACTTCTTACCTGGAGGGAAGAAAGACCAAAATGAGCAGCAATAGATGCTCTAGACTGGGGAGAAAGGGAGACAACAGTTGCTTTTCCATTTTTAAGGTTAGAAAGAAACTCGTCTAAGCTTTGCTTCTCAAGCATGACAGTCTCAGCTGATGTTATACACCCACTGCATGATCATCATAATTATCAGTTCCTCCACTTCCGGGTCATATTAACTCATTTCCAAATCACAATTCAGAATGAAAATCAAGACGAATTAAATAATTGTAATAATTATGTATTCAGTTATAGTGTGTACAGCATCTAGCTTGAACTATATTTCAAAGACTTAAATATCTATCTATTTTAGATCAGAAACACAGAACAGTGTAAGTGTAACAGAGTGGGGTATTTTACTAGACCTGCATGCTAAGCAGTCTTTGAGCGAGATAATCACAGGTTCATTTTGCACTTCTTTAGGAGTCGTTTTAACTTTCCCAGCACCCTGTTTAAGAGTAACCAAAACATGATTATTGAGATAAAAAGACAGAACTATCACAAAAGATAAAGGTACGGTCTTTCAAACAAATGGAGAACATGCAATTCTCTCCACGAAAGAAGTTCAAAGCTTACACTCGTCCTGAGCTTTTTTTTTCTTTTCATTTTTTTCTTATTATGAAAACGTGAAAATGCCTAAATCTGGACCTGACTGAAGCTGAAAAATAATGTCGTTGATCACATCATCAAATAATAAATTCTAAACAAATTATAAGGGCTTCAAAACTTATTAGATGTTAGATATTTTACATCCAGCTAGCTGCAAGCTGTCAAGTTCCATTTCCCGCCATTTACAATTCTGTTAATTCCTTTGTATATATAAATCTATGACTGATATATTGTAAATCAGATTTTACATTTCTTCAATTAAATGAGAAGCTTCCCGCCTTTTCTCTCAAATTTAATTCTCTTTTGATTCAATAAGGTATCAGAGCAATAGTGGAATTCCTGATTCATCTTCTTCTTCAACAAGAGAATCCTGCTACCATGATTTTATACACCATGGCGACTAATACTTCGAGATTATTGGACAATAACTCCATTATTGATGATGGATTGAGTCCTTACTATCTCCACCATTCGGACAGTCCAGGTCTCATTCTGGTTTCTTAGCCGTTGATTGGAGAAAATTATACCTCTTGGAGCAGAAGTATGGTGATAGCTTTGTCAGTTAAGAACAAATTAGGTTTTATTGATGGATCAATCACAAGACCTGAAGGTAATGGTAATCTAATCAATGCTTGGATTCGAAATAACAACAATGTTATATCCTGAATACTCAATTCTGTGTCTAAAGAAATATCAGCAAGCATCATATATTCTGTGTCTGCCTTCGAAATCTGGAAGGATCTGAAAGAGAGATTCCAACAAAGAAATGGACAACGCATTTCCAATTGAGGTGTGATATGATGAACCACACTCAGGCTCAGCTAACTGTAGGAGCTTACTTTACTAAATTGAAGACAATTTGGGAGGAATTGAGCAATTATCGACCAAACTGCTCATGTGAAAAGTGTACATGTGAGGGAATTAAAGATTTGGAAGATCACTACCAAACTGAGTATGTCATGTCATTTTTGATGGGGCTTCTTGACTCTTTTGCACACACTCGCAGCCAAATACTATTTATGGATTCAATACCACCTATCAATAAAGTATTTGCTCTTGTTTCTCAAGATGAACATCAAAGGGCATGATGACAGGAATATCGAATGGCAGTAAACCAATGGCCTTTTCCATAAAAAATGAGGGAAATAGATCTTATAATAATCAGCAATCTGGTAAATTTCAGAAAAAGGATCATACTGTTTGCACATATTGAGGTTTGATTGGGCATGCAATAGACAAGTACTATAAACTCCACGGTTATCCCCTGGCTACAAAGCACGACAGAAGGTCAATTCCTCAAATTAGAAGGTTGCTACAACAGCAAATCAGGTCTCAGATTACTCTAATCAACAAGAGAATGTGAACGATTTTGTTCAGAATTTGAATCCGGATCAGTATCAACACTTGTTAGTCATGCTGAACTCTCATTTGACAACAGCCAAAGCAGACATAAACACTGATGTGAACTTAACACACTCATCAGGTATATGCTTCTCAGTTTCCAAACATCCCATATTTTAGTCTCCTCGACATTGGATAGTAGACTCTGGTGCTGCTATCAATCCTTATTTCATACTATAGTTCCCATTTCCAATTCATTTGTTACCCTCCCTAACAACTCTAGCATACGGGTTAAACTTTCTGGATCCATTTGTCTCAGTACCTCATTGATATTACATGATATTCTCTTTATTCCACAATTTCACTTTAACCTGCTATCTGTTACCTCATTGACAAGGAATTCCTCTCTTCAAGTCAATTTTCTTATGGATTTTTGTATTATTCAGGAACTTCCAACTTCGAGGATGATTGGCAAGGGTAACAAAGTAGCTGATCTCTGTCATTGACACCATCAGTCATAGTTATAAAACCCGGCCCGGCCGGAAAATCGGTGACCCGGGTAGATTAATTTAATAGGAATGTACACGACTCAATCAAAAACCAGCTTTGGCCGAGTTAACCGGCGGTTTTGACCGAGTTAACCCGGCCGGTTTACCGGTTTTCAAAATTGTTTTTTAAAATTTTGGGGGTTCAAGGAATTGAACATTGGACCTCTAAATAAAACAATCAGTTCCTCACCATTGGAGTTGTAGAGCACTTTAGTGTTTTTTATGTGCAATAAGTTATGTATCCAATTAATCATATATATTAAAAATAATAATTTTTCTAAAAGTATTTTTATAAAAACTTTGGTTAAAAATTTTACTTTATTTTATATTATAAACCTAAATAATTAGTAAAAAATAATATAAAAATAATAATTTTGCCTAAAAAAAATTTTCATACTAATTTTTTTTATAAGTTTTTATGCAATGACCCATCGATCCGACTATTGACCCACCGGTTCAACCAGTAACCCGAAACCCAGTACCTTGTTCGGGTTGGGTCTAATAACTATGCTATTAGTCCTTCTACTATCTATAATTCTGTACCTCAAACATCAGCTTCTAATTCTTCCCTTTTGAATGTAAATAATGTGTCCTCTCAAATTTGGCACAATAGGCTTGGACATATCTCATTTAAACGTTTGGAATTGTTAAAGGACATATTGTCTATCAGTTGTAATAATCATAAAGATATTCATTGTTCTATATGCCCTTTAGCTAAATAAAGACGACTTTCATTTGTATCAAATAACAATTTCTCTACTGATCCCTTTGATTTAGTTCACTGTGACACATGGGGTCCATATCACACACCAACTCATGCTGGATATCATTATTTCTTAACTCTAGTAGATGATTGTACTAGATTTACTTGGCTCTTTCTCATGAAACAGAAGTCTGATGTCAAATTCATCATTCCCAAATTTTTCACCCTCATAGAGACACAATTTGGCAAAGTTATTAAACAATTTCGATCTGATCATGCCCCTGAACTGCAGTTCACAGATTTTTTCAATTCCAAACGTGTCTTACATCAATTTTCTTGTGTTGAGCGCCCCTGAACAAAACTCTGTTGTGGAAGGGAAGCACCAACACCTTCTTAATGTAGCTATAGCTCTCTTTTTCCAATCTCACGTACAATTAAAATTCGAGGGGGGAATGTGTTCTTACTGCCACATATTTGATCAACATAACTCCTTCTCCCTTATTACGTGGTGAATCTCCCTTTCAACTCCTTCACAAAATCTCAGTCAACTATGCTCATCTAAAGGTGTTTGGATGTCTATGCTATGCTTCTACTTTGTCTTCCACTAGAACAAAATGTTATCCTCGAGCTGTTGCTTGCATTTTTGTTGGTTATGTACCAGGAATCAAAGGGTACAAAGTTTACAACATTGAATCCAAAACTTTCTTTGTGTCTCGTGATGTAATATTTCATGAAACCTTATTTCCCTTCCGGTCTATAGCCACACTTGATGACATCATTGATCCTTTTCCCAGATTTAGTCTTGCCTATTCCAGCAACTGATTTGCCCATGTCTTCTACTTCAGCCCATAACACCTTATCCGCTCCTCTCATTTAAAACACAACTCATACTCATGTGGTTAGAAGGTCTTCAAGGATCATAAAACCACCTTCCTACCTGCAAACTTACCACTGCAATATGCTTCAAAACAATTCTCAACCTGCTCCTCATATTTCCTATTCCTTGAACAACTATATTTCCTATGCATTCCTTTCCTCTTCTCACCGTGCATATCTACTTCAGATTTCTTCCAATTCTGAACCCCAATTTTATCATCAAGTTGTTCAGAGTCCACATTGGAGAGAAGCAATGACTAATCAGTTAGAAGCTATGGAATCCAATCATACATGGTCTTCAATCTCTTCCTAAAGGGAAACATTCTATTGAATGCAAGTGGATCTATAAAATTAAATATAAGGCTGATGGTACTATTGAACGTTACAAAGCACGATTGGTAGCAAAGAGCTATACACAAATTAGTGACAGTTAAAATGTTTCTTGCAATTGCAGCCATCACAAGCTGGCATCTATTTCAATTAGATGTTAATAATGCTTTTTTGAATAGTGATCTATTTGAAGAGGTGTATATAGATCTTCCTTTAGGTTATATAATAGTTATCAGAAGGTTAATGGAAAGGGGGAGAAGCTAGTTTGTCGTTTGCATAAATCTATCTATGGCTTGAAGCAAGCCTCACGACAATGGTTCTCCAAATTCTCTCGGGCCTTTGTTTTACATGGCTTTACTCAATCAAAATCTGACTATTCTCTCTTCACCAAAGGTGAAGGTTCATCCTTTGTTGCTTTACTGGTATATGTGGGCGATATAATCATTGCAGGTTCTGATTTGCCTGTTATTGAGGAGTTGAAGAAGTTCCTTCATAGCCAGTTCAAACTCAAAGATCTTGGTCCTTTGAAATATTTCCTTGGTCTGAAAATTACACGATCAACTGGTGGTTATTCTTATCTCAGCGTCATTATGCCTTGCAGCTTCTTGAAGATTCTGGTCTTTGCCTGCAAACCAACATTTTCACCCATGGATCCTAAAGCTAAGCTCACTTCCTCTAATGGTGATATCCTTTCTGATGCATCTTCCTACATACGGTTGATTGGTCGTTTACTATACCTCATTCTCTAGGCCTGATATAACATTTGCTGTTCATAAATTAAGCCAGTTTGTGTCAGCTCCTAGGCAACCTCATATGACTGCAGCACTTCATCTCTTGAAGTATTTAAAAGCCTCACCTGCACAAGGCTTGTTCTTCTCTTCTGCCTCTTCCTTTCAACTTCGAGCTTTTGCAGATGCTGATTGGGGTCATGTTTGGATTCTCAAAAGTCTGTGACTGGCTTTGGCATCTTTCTTGGTGACTCTATGATATCCTGGAAAGCCAAGAAACAAACGACTGTCTCTCGCTCTTCTGTTGAGGCAGGATACAGAGCCCTCACATCAACTGCCAGTGAACTTGTGTGGCTTCATCAGCTGTTGCTTGATTTTCACATATCCCCTTCTGGTTCTACAGTTATATATTGTGACAACCAAGCTGCAATACATATTGCCAACAATCTCACATTTCATGAACGGACGAAACACATAGAAATCGATTACCATTTTATTTGAGATAAAGTTACTTCTGGTTTTCTCAAGCTTCTTCCAATTCGCACTCATCACCAACTTGCTGATGTATTCACCAAACCATTACCTTTTGCATCCTTAAGTCTGGTACTTTTCAAGATGGCCGTTCTTGACATTCACCGGCCACCTTGAGGGGAGTATTAGATGTTAGATATTTTACATCCAGCTAGCTGCAAGCTGTCAAGTTCCCTTTCCCACCATTTACAATTCTGTTAATTCTGTTGTATATATATATCTATGACTGATATATTGTAAATCAGATTTTTCATTTCTTCAATTAAATGAGAAGCTTCCCGCCTTTTCTCTCATATTTAATTCTCTTTTGATTCAATAAAACTCAACAATTTTGATTGAATTTTTAGTTATAAAAAAAACAACATAATCTGAAATGATTAAATAATACAATCCGCTATCCTATCTAAATTAGATGCAAATGAAGAACTCAAAAAAAAAAACTGCAAGTAAACCCTATAGTAGAAAGTGCAAAAACAGAACCGAACAGTAATCGAGAAATAAACAAGAAATCCAATTCTAACATAACAACCCTAGCTGAAAAAAAAAAAAACAGCTATTACCTCCGTTTTAATAACACAACCCTGAGACGGTGCTATATAATCATTCAAGTCCCCAATTCTAAGCGCCGCCGAGAATTTCTCCGACATTATTTCTATATGTAAAGATGTACAAACAGGTATGTGGAGAATTACAATTATAAAGCTTCAAACTTTGGGAAAATAAATTATTGAAATTCACAAATTTTTGGGATTTGAAATTTTGATAAGGGAGAGGAATAAGGGAATTTGAACACGATCGGAGGCAGTGTAGAATTGTAGGTACCCGATGACGGCACCAGTTCTGTACGAACCAAACGTCAAATATATATATTTTTTCTTTTCCCTCTTTATTTATTTTATTTATTATTATTTTTTCTCTCTCTTATTGGTTAATGTCTCCTAAGGCGGCCAACTGACCGAGCAGCTCCAGGGCTCCGCTTGTCAACTCGATTATGAATGGCTCGAACTCGTTTTGTGATGTTCATGGACAGAGTTGGATATCCATCTTTACGAGTTGCTCGTTGCGAACTCAAGAGTCGGATTTGTTTTATTTTAATTTTTTCATTAATTTCTTTAAAAAACAAAGTCGGGTAATGGCTCGTGGACGACTTAACCTACTCATGAGGCCCACAAGTCTTAAGAGGAACAAATCAAACCTAGTTTGTGGATATGAGTTGGGCTCAACTCCTCCATAGCGCGGGTAAAGCTCGTGTTTAAGGGATGAGAAATCGAGTTTAGACTTCTTTTTCTTTACATATTATTTCCACAGCATCTTTTGAGCTTTTCTTTTCTAGCCCTAGATGCTCTAACAATTTTTGTTGGGCTTAGCCCAGTTCAATAATTTGTCAAGAAATTTTCACAAATGCCCACCTTTAGAACAAAAAATTAAATGGAACTGAGGTGACAAAACTTGTTACCTTTTATTAATCACAAAAAGTAACATGATTTGTCACTAAAAATCAATTTTTCAATTTTTCATTGAAAATCTATATTTTTATAAGGGTTACTATTTAGGTTATCTTGTTTTTCATGGATTACATGTTACATTACAATATTTTTCATTAAAATCAACTAATCTGGAAGGTTTTCTATATCTTTCATAGAAAGACATGTGTCAGACCTACATATAATAAGTCATAAACTTAAATGCATTCGATAATTTTGATAAGTGTTGTGTACTTGTATAGCAAGAACTGAATAGGGTGACACTTTTTTGGTACATGGAGTCGTGATTGAAACCGTGTGAAATAAATATTGCACTACGCAATATGTAATTGTATTGCAAGAATCGTCGCATTCTTTTGTACGTTCATGGCCTAAACTGTATGGAATAAATGTTGCAAAATGATGATGTGACTTGCAAAGTCCTCATTAATTTTGTTGTCCATAATGCCAAAAACGCCGATTCTTCTCATAAAATCGTATTTTGTAAAGGTATTTGTGTTTTTAGAAGAATATGAATATTCCGTCATAAAAATCGAACATTTCGAGTATTCTTTAGAACTTATGTTTTCAAGCATTAAATACAACTTGAAGACGAGACAAATTTTAACCTTTTGTGAATTTCCAAACCACTCAATGTCTATCTTCACAATCAAAGGAACATTAAATTGAGAATTCTTCCCAGATTCTTTCTAGTATTTTTATTACTTTTGATCAAATTATTACACTGTTTGTTTTAGTCAGAGGTTACTCATCAGGATTCATACTTAATTCAGATGCACCAACACAAAGATGAACTCCTTTTATTATACAACCAAAAGGGCCATCATCTTTCACATATATGGAACAAGTTACACAACTTCATGTCTAAGCGAAAGTGAAAAACTTGATTGAACTGGCAGTGTACGAAGAAATTTATCAGCTTCCGCTGTTCTTTCCTTTGTTGTCTCCATACAGACGGAACAGACTAAACGCAGAAATAGCAGAGAGGACGACCATAACCATGCTTACAACTAGTGCACCGGCTATGCCCTCCCCGACTTGGTTGCAGAATTTCGAATACATGATGCAAATCTTCATCCATTGAAGCTCCGTCTGCCCAAACTTGGCAAAAACAGCGGACTGAGCAGCCGCTGCCACTGCTGCCAAAGTCAAGTAGGCCATTATCTGCACAAGCGAACTAACTTGAGCACTTTCGACTATACTAATGTCAAAGTTAGTATGTTTAGGCCAAACACAAAAGGAATGATCTGAATGATGGGGATATAAGATAAATAGCCAACAATACAACGAATTTTGCATGCATTTGTGAATTTTGTACAGTTTGATGAATAGTGTGCTTCACAGATTATGATATTTGCATTACTTGATCCAGTTGAAATGATTTTTCTTGTTCTTTTGATTTCTTGCCATTCGATATGAGTCATACACTCCCTAATTAAGCCAGGTACTTCCAAGCTTCTAAAGTCTCAGATTATTTTGACCAGAAGGAAAATGCAGATCATAGTCAAAAGAAAAATAGTAAAAAAGCCTCTGGTTTGGGGTGGATAGTTACTTAATTGGTATTAGGATTCTACTTAAGGCTCTCGTAAGACAGAAGTCTTTGATTGAACCCTGGGGAAGCGAAGAAATTCGTGAGGAGTAAGACGGGCACATGCACTCCTAAAGTGGAGAGCTACTGGCTCAGAGGCCCTGGTCGTTACAAATTGTGCTCATTAGTTAAGTTCAGATGGAAGCCCCTCAATACTCCGAGGCAGATGCCACACAGAAATCAGCTTTAATTAGAACTCAACTAAGGATCAAAAGTGTTTCTTTAACAAAATTCCACTTATGCATGACTGGTTAAATGCTTAAAATCAAGTCATTTTTGCAGCAGAAAAATCTTTATGAGATATTTGGTAGAATGGGCTGAACTAATGCAGTATTAAAGTAACAAAATTTAAAATCTGGTCACTTTTACTGTCAAGTTCACCTCAATACTACTTACTAAACATGCCATTAGAGTAGTTAATACCTGATCACCAGAGAAGATGACCCAAGCTAAGGGCTTGTTGAAGAGCACACTTCCTCTAATCATACTCAAAACACACCTCAAAACTTGGAGCAGTGAGTAGGCAGCAGCTAAGCCATTGGTTATTACCAAGAAACTGCATAATCAAAGCAAGTCTAGAACAAGATTAAATTTGGGGAACTTTCATTCTTAGAAATTTCAACAAGAGAAGAAAAAATCTTACACAAGGGCTTTCATGTCTGTGAATTTAGCCTTCTTCTGAATCAAGAAAATCTCTTTAACTTGAGTGTCAGTCCCGATAAGAACAGCAGAAAGTATAGCTAGACCACATATCAAACACCTTAAAATCAATTCTACAAGCCTCACTCTCCTGTCAATTACCTTCAAATCACTCCCATGATAAACAGGAACATTTCCAGGACTCACACCTACACCAAGATAACTACTCATTTTTACTACTCCTATTTCCAATCTACAATAACTCAAGATAAGAGCGCACAAGAAGTAATGAACTGTACGAAGTTCACCTACCACACCCCACCTCTTAAATAGACACCCAACACGACTAGTTCATGCATTATGTAATAAAAAATTTAATGCACTTTTCTTTGTACGGCTGCCAAGTGTTTGGGTTTGTATTTTTTTAGCTCACCGTGTGTTGGAATGGTTAGATGCCACAATTTTATCAAACATTCATCATTGAATGCAAGGAGACCTGACATCTGAGATTGCATTAAAGAACTAAGGCCGAAGATTTCTGGGAATGGGTAATGGTTTCCTGTTCCAAGAAAGAGAGAGATAAGGGTAGATAGCGCCTTTAATTCTCACATTTAAGAAGAATTACGATTACCCATTCCTCATTGTGTGGGGAAAAAGACGGGAGACAGAGAGATTAGTGCTGTCAATTATCAACATTCAAGTGTGAATACATGTTGGACAATTGAAAGGAAGGCAAAAGAGAGTTGGCAAAGCGTTGATGGGTGTTTGTTAGGGATTTTTTGATTTTACAGGAAATCAATTCTCATTTTTAACCTCACATTTTTCAACAAAATAATATTTTCCATCACATCAATAATTTTTTCTTCTTTTTCAACCACACATTTCTCATCATATCACTATTCAAAAATCAATTTTTCCCCCAAAAATCCCTACCAAACAATCTAATTTGTTAGTTAATAAATTAGATAGCTAATGTCCTGTCTAGAGGTGTCAAAACGGACGGACCGGCCATTACCCGTGAAAACCGGCCCATGAAAACCGGGACCGCGGGCCGACCCGTGACCTGTGTGAGCGGTTCACGGGCCAAAAAGTTGTGACCCGCGGGTTTAGGCTTCACAAGCCGCGGTTAACCCGCAGCCCGCGAAAAAAAAATGAAAAAAAGTCGAAACAAGGGGGGGAGCCTGCAGCAAGCAGCAGGCTGAGCGTGCATGCAGGCATAGTGTACGGTTCGTTGACAAGTAATAAAGTGGAAATCCTAGAATTCATAGTATCGTTCCCACGAGGATTGATTTAACTTGAGTTATATTATTGCGACCTTAACCGAATCTATTAAACTCAATATGATTATTTTGTGCTTTTATGATTAAACTATGACTAATCTATCAATTAAACTA